CGTCCGAGCATTGGATCATCGGATTCCTCTTCCGATCGGCCATCTGCTTTCGATATCAGAGCAGGCTAATGAACGTATGTTGCAGCACTGCAAAGCGAATTGGACATGATTTGTCCTGGCCCGAATAGCAAACCCGAAAACGAAAGGACCAGTGTCAGACAAAAATGTCGCAGGAGTTTCCGATCCCATACGCATAGGGCTAATATAGAAAGACGATCATTTTTCGTCTTTCTGATGTCAATACTTACGACGTTCTTTTCGGCCTTCCTGCCCTGGCAGCACTACGAGCTAATCTGGACTTCGAAAGACGATCGATTGTCCTCCGAAATACGGGAGGCAAACCCTATGTTGTACCAATGAGACTGACTCTGTGTACTATCGCTAACATAGTTCCGTGAGTTTCTCCCGCGATGACAGACACCCTTCGCATGATTACCTGGGACAACGGGCAGACGTCCAAGGACGCAGACAACAGAGATGGTGATAACGATCCTGAAATCCTAAAGATGGCACGAGAATGTATTCATTACCCCGTGCAGCGGATGAATGCTGAAGCCCCAAACAGAACTAACCAAGATTTGCAAAGAACTCAGGCAATGATTATGGGAGAACCTCTCGTACAGATTTCAAGGATGGTCGATTCTTTGGAATCCCCTTGAACCCTGTACGAAGGGATCTCCCCTCTCCTCGCCCGATACAACAACAAAAGGTACTACTGCGATATCACGGATCTTCCGAAATCCTTGCTGACACCTGCAAAGGAAATTCGATTGCTATGCTTAGGGGCAGAGATCAACTTTTTGGAACCCCCTGAGCGCCTCGAAAACGGACTCGGAATCAAGATCGCCACAAAACCCGTGTCATGGCAGGACATCCGAGACGGAGTGACGCCTGAAGAACACGTGGCCATCCGAGAAGAGGATGCGCACATGATGGCCACGGTGTTCTCCTGGCGATCCGATAACTCGTTCATCTTCGCGCCCCCGCCGGAAAATACTAAACGAATGAATACGAAACATATCGATGTGCGGATATGGGACGAGTCATACGAGTTGCACGTACCTCGATACGTACCTGACGAAATCCACCACCTGATTGCAGACATCCTGAAAGAATATAAAGGAGCGATTACTGTAACGAACGGATATTGGATTGTCATTAGTCATACAGCATGAAATCCAGACGAGAAACCATTCCCCAATTCATTGCAAGCCTTACAGGTATTCCCTGGTAGAGCGGAAAAAGGCCCTCGAACGGATTCGAGAATTCGAAGCAAGCGGTTGGATTGAACCTGCCATCGGACCATGGTCATTCCCGGTAGTATTGGTACCCAAAAAGAACGGGTCGATCCACATATGCATTGATTATCGTAAGCTGAATGATATCACGATCAAAGGTGTGTATCCCCTCCCCCGGATGGATGATTTGCTAGATGCGATTGGGTGTGCTAATTATTTCAGTAAGTTTGATATTCGGCATGGCTTCCATCACATTCTGGTTAAGGAGGAAGATCGGCCGAAGACGGCCTTCGTACTGTTTGAAGGTACGTGGCAGTGGGTTCGATGTCCGATGGGGATCTGCAATGCGCCGGCCACGTTTCAGCGGGTCATGAACGTCACGTTTCAGAACTTCGTCAACAAGACATGATTAACGCAGAGGATGATCAACTTTTGCGTCATCATGTATATGGATGACATCCTAGTTTATTCGGAGACCTATCATGGCCATGCGCAGCATATCGAGTGGACATTAGGAGCTCTGAGAGACGCTGGATTGAAGATCGCGCTTCAGAAGAGCGAATTCTTCCTCTCGGAAATTTCGTTCTTGGGCTACATTGTGACACGTGGAGGATTAGGCCTGACTCAAGAAAGGTCGCGGCGGTGAAAGAAGCCCCTGTTCCTATGTCACTAACGCAGGTTCGAGCCTTCTTGGGGTTGGCATCATACGATCGCCGTTTCATCAAGGGCTTCGCCGCGATTGCACGACCCTTGACGAACCTGCTACGGAAGGATCAGCCCCTCAGTTGGGACGTGGAGCGCGAGCAGGCCTTCGCGACCCTCAAGGAAGCCCTGACCACGACACCTATTTTGATCCGACCGGACCCCTCAAAGCAGTTCATTCTCATCACGGACTAGCAACCGGAGGCTATTTCCGCTATTTAAGCGCAAAAGGGGAACGATGGCCGTGAACATGTCATCAAGTATGCGTCGCGAACGGTACCAGACGAGCGAAGGAATAACTCAGCCCCGCAAGGCGAATGCTACGCAGTAGTGTGGGGAATCCAGCACTTTCATCCGTATTTGTATGGACAGAAGTTCCTCCTTGTCACCGATCATGAACCCCTGTTAGCGCTGAAGAGACTCTTTAATTACACGGGCATGATTGGCCAATGGGCGGTGCGCCTACAGGAGTACGACTTCGACATCATCCATCCAAAGACGGAAAGACACGGCAACGCGGACGGGCTGACACGTCTGCATCGACCAGCTAAAGTGCCTAAGGCAGAAGAGATCGTCCCGTAGAAGGAACCGGAGTCGGTGAACGGGCCCAAGTACGGACAAGTGGCAGTTCTCCCTCGTGGCAAGAAGCAGGCGGGTGGCAATGGGTGACGGAGGTAATCATACAACCCCTCTCTCTCCCCTCTCCTCCTCATCTCTTCTCTCCCTGGTTGATAAATTTTGTTCTTTTTGTGAAGCAATTTCTCGCGTATACTCGGTCTCTATACGCCCTAACGGAGAGGGATATGCGGAATAGGTAGATTGTCGACAGTGTGTCGCACGAACCCACGACTCGTGCATCCAATACCGAAATGACAGTAAGCCCTGGCTGTGCCCCTTGTGTCGGATTAATAAGATCCCGACCGAGGCTCGCTTTTTAGATGCCACGTCGGAAGGGTTAGAAAAAACACAGAAGTTTAGAAGGGCCGAAATATGGACGGATATCGCTTTGATTGTCACCCTAGTGGGTAAACCCCTCCAGGACTTCACCAAGGAAGATCGGAGGAGGGTCAATGAAAAGGCTCGGGACTACCGTTGGAATGAGGGACGATTGGAAAAACGAAAAACGGATGGTAGTGGGATTTTGATGGTAGTACCGCACCCGTTCATGAGGTATGACTGGGTGAAGACAACGCACGAGGAATAGGCTGCCCATTTTGCCGTATGGATCACGGAGGCGGCAATTGACAAAAACGAGTGGTATTGGTCCAATATTCGTGACGATGTGAAATTTATTGTTGCGAACTGTCAAGTCTGCGCTGCTGACAAGGCGCCGATTCAGCCGCCAAGATCGATAGTGCCAACGATAGTTGAACGGCCTTTTCAAAGGGTTAGCATGGATACTACCGATATTGTGGTACCCCCTGGACCCAATAGCTGTGAATATTTAGTCGTACTCGTGTTCGTGGACCATTTTTCGAAATGGATCGAGGCATATCCCTGTCGTACGCGACAGGCGGCCGAGACTGCGCGATACGTCAATCGGTTTTTAGGGATGCACCAGGACACGGAGGAAATTTTGACCGATAACGGGGTAGAATTCAGGGGAGAAGTCCTGAGGAATCTGGTCGTACACGGCGTTGCTATTCGGAATACCGCACCCCATATGTCACAATCTAATGGGCTGGTAGAAAATGCCATAGGGTGATAAAGACTGTGCTACGACGCAATATCGCGGCGCGGGATCCCAGGCCCTGGCCCGATATCGTAGATCACATCCTGGCGGTCCACCGAGGGACGCCCCACGAATCAACGGGCCTGATCCCTTTTCAATTAAGGACCAATAGCGTGACCTGCGTTTCGATACCAAGCCTCCCGGATGAGTCTTCGTTGAATCGACGGCCCACCAGGGCCACGGTTCGAGACAAGGCCAAGCGGCACATGGAATTGATGGAACGGTCCCTGCCCCGATTGGCCCGAAAACGACAGAAAATGACCGAGTTGGTCCATGGCTGGCAGGTTCGTAGTTACGAGGTCCGGAACGGGAATGCGGGTCCGCGACCCCAGTATAAATTAGGGGACTTGGTGCAGGTGAGGAAATATGCTCGCCAAGGCAAGATAGCGCCACGATTCTTCGGGCAATTTCGAGTGATCGAGCTCGGCCCGAACGGAGTGAACACGGTGCGCCTCGTACCGGAAGTCTCGGGAAGCCGATCGGCGCGGCTGATCATTCGCCATGTGTCTTACCTACGTCCCCTCCCTTCCTCCCCATCTCCTGCACCCTCGTCTTCGTCCTTGGGTACGGAAGAAGACGGCGATTCTCGATCGCTCTCTTCCTCCCCTACATCTCTCGTCTTTTTCCATACTCCGCCCCCGCCACCATCGCCATGAGTTTTCTTACAGAGCAAACTCTCGGTGATCATCTGTTGGCGCCACGAGGCTACATCTCAGCGATTCGTCAGGTTCATCATCCGCGGTTCAATCTGGATCTTCTACGACTCACGCAATTCTTCTGCACTTCGGGGGTGTACGCAGCGGTCGAGTTCCGATTCACGGGCAGTCCTTAGGTGGTCGTGTTAGCAGAGGCAGTGGCGGTACATCGGCGATCAGCTCCCGGGATAAGCCACGTGTCCACAGTTGTCGGGTTCAGCAGAGATATCAGCACGGTCAGTGCGCTACGGCATACGGCCATCCGGACGTCTTTACGACAACGGGGCCAGCGGTTGGCAGTTGAGTGGAACCATTGGCTCACGCGCCGCGGGGACAATCTCTTCCCTACGGACGGTATCGACCTCGACGGGATTCGAGCGTTCCAGCACGAGCCGGCGGTGGTGCTTCCAAAACTCGTCCCCTTCCAACGTCCCCAATGAACCTTCCCAACTCTCCACCTTCGCTCTTCCATCTCTCTATCCCACCTTCTGGCAGTCTGGTGTCCATCCTCATTTCTCCTTCTGTCTGGAACCGCTCGTTGTCCCCCTTCTCGACCCAAGACAGTGGCGGCTGTGTTGTGAGCACTTCGTCGATCTTTCGGTGTGCCTGGTCGGGGTAAAGCTTACGTGGACAAGGGACGAGGAACACCGCGAGTGGTACTTGGAGCTGATGATCGTCCAGGCCTGGAGAACAGATGTGGAGGGCGATCTTCTCGGTTTCCTCTTTGGATCGGTACGGCCCGACCATCGCCAACTGATCGCGCAAGAGCTCACGGTCCCCCTTGCGCAGTTGGCTGACGATCTCCCCCTTGAGATTGTCTCGCATAGTGACGAGAGCCTGGTCCCGCACGTCCTCACAAGGACCTTGACGTCGTACCTTCAGTGGTCAGCGTGCCTGGAGGAGCCAGGAAGCGGACGCAACCCGCCATCGCAGCGGGATTATCTGAGCCCACGGGAAATCATCGATCTCGCCTTCTTCCAGGACCGAGCGGCCTCCGAAGACGAAGAGGTAGCAATCGAAGAAGAAAGCGCTGACGAAGAAGAAGAAGCCGCGGGAGAGGACGAAGAGGAAGAAACCCTAGAGGAAGGCAGTTACAGTGAGCACGGCGAAGGAGAGCAAAGTGAGGAGGAGGAAGAAGAAGAGGACGAAGAAGAAGAGCTAGAGCTGGAAGAGTCTGAGTGGGAGATCTCGGCGGAGGAAGTGGAGCAGGCGGACACTCAGGTGGAAGACCTCGAGGCGGCGCGCAAGAGAGAGGAGATCGCAGTCGGAAAATGACAGCTGGAATTCGCCAGCGGGGCCAATCCGCAAATCGCCGACGATCCGGCCCGCGATCCCGAGGCGCCCAAGCCCGAAGATGGGGACCCAGCTGCCGAGACTTCGAGCGCACTGCCCAGGCGGCAGCAAAGCCGATCCCCCTCCCCCTCCACCTCCGACCGTCCATCAGTTCGAGCCCGTACTGATGCGGGCCATCGGGCTTCGTCCCCGGTCGTTATCCCGCTATCCCCTTGATCATCTCACCCTCCGCCAAATCACCACCCGCGTCACCTTCCCCCGTAATCCCTTCCACATCGATACCTTCCGATTCTTCTACGCTACTCGCCTCGTCGTTACGGTCCACCCCCATCCCTCGACCAATTGCGCCCTTCCCGATTTCTACCTCCACACCCTCCTCCTCAGTGTCGCATGGCGAGACCACAACATGGTCAAAGTCTATTGCATGATTGCGGGGACAATCCCTGCATGCGAAGATCACGACCATTTCCGCGCGGCACTCTTCCGCACCTTTACCACCCTGTATCTCGACTACCTCGCCTCCCTCCCTCACACTGGTAATCGCTTCCCCCGTTTCCATCGGATCGTCCGTTACCAGGAGTTCCCAGAAACAGTAGCCCAGGTGGAACGATTCTTACCCCCGCTTCCGATTAATCCTCCCCCTCGCCATGCCCCCATGTACCGTATCCCCTTCCCCCTTCCTGGTGGACACTGATGATCGGTGATCGGTGGATTGGTGTGCGTGCCATGGCGATGGCTCGAATAATCTCCTCGTTGGATTGATGAGAGCCCTCCTGAGGAATTTGTATCACAGAGCTTGCAGGCCACGGTGGATGACGTCCACACTCTTTCACAAGGTAAGTGACCATGCAAAAAGCTCCACGCGTCGGTCGACTAGAGAGATCGACACGTATCAAGAATCAAGCAAGCAGGAGTTTGCTTAAGATTGGAACCCCCTGGGCGTCACATATGTGACGAACCGATTTCTGCGCCGCGTGATTTTCTGCGCAGTAGCAGTGAGGGGTCATAAGCTGGGAAGGATGGGTCAATTATGGGAGATTAGGATGGAAGGGAAATTGCATCAGTGTCCTCGCTTCTTCGTCCTTTTTGATCGTCTTTTCGGATGGTTGGGTTCGGTCCCGGGTGAGCCCCGGGACGATCGATTGGTTGATTGGCTGCGCGCGATTAATAAATGTTGACGTCGCTTCTTTTGTTTCGGTTTTGGACTTTTAGGCGCGGATATCGCGCGGGAATTTTGCTTCGTTCTTTTTGAATTTTTTTTTTAAACTCGTTTTCGAATCTTGTCGAGCCACTATGGCTCTCGGAATTTCAGACTTTCTTTTCGGGATTTGTGTTTTTCTGCATTTAACAGGAATTAGGAGTTTTGCAACGAGGGGTGCTAAGCTGGGAAGGATGGGCCAATTACGGGAGATTGGGATGGAAGGGAAATTGCATCAGTGTCCTCGCTTCTTCGTTCTTTTTCGTCGTCTTTTCGGATGGTTGGGTTCGGTCCCGGGTGAGCCCCGGGACGATCGATTGGTTGATTGGTTGTGTGAGAGGTGCGCCGTCGTGCGCGCGATTAATAAATGTTGACGTCGTTTCTTTTGTTTTTGTTTTGGACTTTTAGGCACGAACATCGCGCGGGAATTTTGTTTCGTTTTTTTTTAAATTTCTTTTTGAATTTCTTTTTGAACTCTTTTTTGAATCTTGTCGAGCCACTATGGCTCTCGGAATTTCGGACTTTCTTTTCGGGATTTGTGTTTTTCTGCATTTATCAGGAATTATGAATTTTGCAATTAGGATTTTTCTTTGTCGCGCAACGTTTTTTTTTACGCGCTTCTCTGTGCGGCTGCAACGGAACTCTGATTAGTCGACGCCTTTAATCGTGTGTGTAACTGTAGTTTTGGGCGAGCGCCATTATAACTGTATCCTTTCTTCTTGTGCTTCGTCTTTCCCGCTCTCACTTTTTCTTGCTGTGTCTAGCCAGCCCGCGGACTGCATACTCGGATCGATGCGTGGAGCGAGGCTACGTCCCCCATACCGCGGTTTGCCCATGCAGAACGTAGGCGATCCCTCTCCTAATCTTCTTTCTAAGTCCTTGTAATTTTGTGTTCTTCGCGCATGCATGCACGCTATAAATTCCGGTTGCGCAATTAGATAGCTCTATTAACCAGCTGTTGGAAGCTCGGGGTAGCGCGATCAGTGAGGGTCGGCTCACGAGCGAAGTAAGAGGTGAGTTGAAGTGGAAGTCGGGCGACCCGACGAGCTGGTGCCAAACGCGCGGGGTTGACGCCGGCCACGACGGACTGTGGGTGCGGGCGAACCTGACGGGTGCGGGCGAACCTGACGGGTGCGGGAGGACTAAGCGGGGTGACGACTTTGAGGGTTGGTGAGCGATGACAGACTGTCCGCATCGGAGAGAGAGAGAGAGAGAGGAAGAGAGAGTTGAGGTTGATGGACGCGAATTTGCTGTTTCTTTTGTCTTTTCTCCCTCGCTGCCTTTGTATATAAATTTTGATCCGGCTCGGGGCGATCCGCCCGTTTTCTATAGTTTTTCGGAATCTTGCCTTGGTTTCAGTCCACACTTGTTTTTGCGATTTCAATCTCGGATATTGTGTGTTATGCTGAATGAATGGATGAATGGATGTTATGACTGTTTGCTTTTCCTTATGCCTGATCTTTGCCTTTGCTTGTTGTTTTGATACCCTCATGAGCATAGTAGGAAAGTTCGCACTATTGTTGTTTGTCTTTTTTTTTATCTACTATTGTCACTATGAACGCGTCGTAGCACCTTGCATATTCGGGAATGATTGCGTACGAATCATGGGATGATTAGATGATCGGGTAGCTGTTTGCCCAGAAACCAGCGAGCACCTCACGGGGATGCTTGTAAGTGCGACATGATCTGCGCACTTACACGTGTCCACGCGCGTCGATTCGCAACCATCCACGCATGAAAGGGCTAAAGATTGCAGGGATATTGATTTATTGGATGTGTTCGGCGGCCATTCTGCACTTGCAACAAAGTGATCATCCCGTGTGAACACGTGCAAGTTCGATCCCGTTCGTGCAGTCTAGACGTACTCACACGCGGTGATCGCAATCGTCGAATAACGGGACAGGCACGGAATTTTTGAACGCTGAGCTCGAAAATTCCCCAGTCGGGTAACCACGCACTAAGGAATTCCGCGGCTTCACACTGACGAGATGACGAACTCAAGGGACTCAGATTCGTCGTGGGATCCGGAGTACTTTACCTCTTGGGTGAACGAGTGTCTCAGACGAAGACGCCCGAAATTCCCCTGCCTAACCGAGAATCGATTGTGCCCCAGGGAATTCCACTGTGCTACGACCAGCGACCCGAGGTGTCCCGATTTTCCCACTTCGGATAACTTGCACTACTTCATATCCCCCGGCTTCATCGTCGTTGCTACTAATTTCCCTCATTTTTGTCTTCTCCTCCCGTACCACCAACTTACAGTGGTACTGTGGAATTCCATCGCGGAGTATTGGCCCTGCACGCTGTGCGGAAATTGCCGGCGTCGCGGCAATCGACGAGCCCCGGACACCAGAGGGCCTAACCCGAATACGCAACGACAGACGCCACGTGGCTGCCCTCAAAAGCCCGACTCATCGGAATCACAGCCCTTCCGGGCAGACCTAGCCCTAAACTGCCGCCCCCAAAACAGACGAAGCGGACGACCTTGAATGCATCGCGCATGCCATCTGCCTTATGTTGCACGACATAAACGCCAGCAGACCGGAAGGAACTTGCCTTCAGCCTTATTGCACCCGTGCCCCTAGAACCTTGCCACAGGGGATCTCAGTTCTGACCTGGGACTCCACCCCCACTTTCCCAAAAATCCTTGGCACACCCCTTTTCGCACTTCCAGGCCCACATCCCACTCCGATCAGGAAGCCGCGCTGGGCGTGAGGTTGGGCGTCACACCCTATCACATCTAGCTCTGGTAGAGGTACCATAATCAGTTTTTAACTTTTTATACAAAAAGGACTAGTGTGTGGTATGGGGTGAAAACTGTTGTGCAGTGAAGAAGAGAGTTTGATGTAGCTACTCGGTGTGTCATGATAGATCTGGTGGCTCTTAAAATGCTGAAGAGGCAAGCATCTTGCTCATTTTGATTTGACATGATGTCTTTGGATTCCGGGTCCCTTCGGGTCTCGTTAAACCACCAGTACTTGGGCGACGCCTTAGCGTTAACGCTACGCGATTTCCGTGGCCGGTGGGCCGTCGATAAATCGAATCGACAGCCCGCGCTGCTTCGAGATTTGGGCGGCCGGCACGGCGCGCAGTGCCCAAGTACTGGTGGTTTAAAAGCGAAACTGGGTAAGGCTCCCAGGTATTGCCACATCCGAGTAGATTGTGAGGACCCCGGCGTCGACGTTATCATTTCTAATATCAGCTTTGTGGGCCCGTTGTGATAAAAAAAAAAAAAAAAAAAAAAAAGGATCAGAACTTCATATTGAGCTAGTACCTTTTTTGACTTGCACTTCAGGGTGGAAATTTTTTGGAAGATCTCTTGAATAGCTAAGGAAGAGGAAGTTGGAGCCTGTTTGCAACAAGAGCCTAATCTGGGTAATGGCCCCAGCATCATCCCAGTTGTTTGTGTGTGACGTATTCCCGACCTCTTATTTTTCGAATGTAATAAAATGCTGAATTATTCCCAAAAAAAAAGAAAAAGTACAGTGGACGGTAGTGGAGCACGGCCCTTTACCGCTCTTCCAAACCCGTGTCCCTTGGAGCTCTTCTTCCCTTTGCTTTTTGGACAGTTTCCTTTTATTTCAGGCAGGGCCACAGGTGTAAGGTATCATTATCAAACTGATCGGGCCGAGGCCATTCAGAGTGCTTTTGTTTGTCTGATTTCTCACCAGGATTCCAACACAGAGATATCATAAAAACAATGTAGTCTGGAGCTTTATTATCGCGGAACAAATTACATTGAAGTAGGCGCAGAATAATCACGCCATCACAGTCCTACTTCCAACACAGATCTGCTTGTCAAGAATTCCATGGATAGGTCTACCATTCAGCCACATGGGCCGGGTTTTTGGCAGGTGCTCG